ATCATTAACCTTTGCATTTGTTTTTTGTGAATAATTCATGAATTTGTAAATTGATTGCACGTTTACGTTGAAATATATATATATATATATATATATATATATATATATATATATATATATATATATATATATATATCAGAAACGATAATAGATGCTGAAATTTAAACTTAAAGATTATGTTACGCTTCTCCCGTAGGTATAGAAGGCATGAATTGCTTTGAAAATCCTTTTTTTAATTGGCTTCGAACCTCAAACACTGGCGCCATTGAGAAATATATCATGTGGTAACCTTCCAGCCATACGGACGTCATAAAGTCATAGAATGTGATAATTCGCGGCGAACTAATCTGGTTGACTTTTACTTCTGCGTAATGAGTTCGATTCTCACTGGGTGTACCATACTTGGAACCTTGTTCCAAACAAATATAAGGCTATTAAATGACAACTCTTCGAGAAGCTCATGTCGATATATGTAACAGAGCATTCATGTCTTATGTATAGTTGCCATATTAATAATAATAATTTTTTTTCAGGCTGATTTAAAACATTTTGAAGTTATTTCCATCTTTCACCCCAAGCAAGGCGATAATACCACTAAAACTCAAGAGCTTACTAAGAGCAACAGAAAATGAGGAAAGGTTAATGAGAAGAAAGAAAAAGAAAAGAAACACTTTCCGGAAGACAAGATGGCTACTGATGTTACATTTAAATTTTTGAAGATTTTAGGCAACGGGAAGCAAGGAGGCGGTAGAGAGTTCCGCAGGGGAGAAGTGCCAATGAAGAAACGATTAGAATAGAACTTATGGTACATCTAGCTAGTTCAATAGTAAAATGATGAGACCAAATTACCAATCTGGTAGTACGCTTAATTTTTTTTTACAGTATGGTTCACTCTTTGCAAGGCCTCGAGGTAGAGGGTTACATTAGGAGGCCATTTGTGTGTATAGAAGTGGAAGCCTTGAACTGGATAAGATTGCAGTGATCGGGGAAACATCCTGTTAGGAGTCGGTTCCTTACGGCAGTGGTTCGCGGGAAGAAGCTGCTGGAGTGGAACTTACTTCTCACCGATGGAAGGAATGTGGGTGGTTTGCTACCATGTAAGTGGCATAGCCTGTTCTTGTCGTGAAGGTTTGACTTGGCGGGATCAGGGAATGTCGTTCGTCCTAGCACTATCAGTAGCGGTAAAGCAGCAAGAGGCTTGCCACATCCCATCTTGGGAGAGAGGTTAAAGAGTGAAGAATAATTCGTCACCCACAAGGGCTCGGAGACGCTTTTGGACCCTATCAAGGCTGGAGAGTGAGGTTTGGAAAGCTCCCGCCCAAATATGACAGCAGTATCCCATTCTTGGCCTTATCTGGCTCTTGTAAAGGTAAAGGATAGCAGGAGGAGTCAGGTACTTACTGGAGCGGTACAGGAAACCGACCATTTTCCCAGCATCTTTAGGGATGGATCGTATGTACAAGTTTCACTTAAGGGCTAGGGTGATTTTATGGCCAATAGTCTCGTAAGGCTAGGAGCCTTCTTGAGGGATATCCATTCATCGTCGAGGTCAGATTGGCGATGATGGAAAGTAACTAGTTTGACCTTCTTGGGAGTCGCTTCGACAAAGCTTTGTAGAAGAAGCTTTTCGGGTGGGACTTGCATCGTACCAATGGAATACAAAAGGAAAGATGGTGGTTCGCTACAATCCGCGGCTTGAAGAACCGATGGGACTAAGTAATGTAGTCCGTCTGGCATTTTCTATCGAAATAGCGATAAAGCAGCGAGAGGCACGAGAAAGGGGTTGTAGGGTGTTATATAGTGTTTTCACAGTGGAGGCTTGTATTTGTACTAAGTCGGTCCTAAAATAGGTTCGACGTACAAAACGTTAGGAACTTCATATAATAGGTAATGACGCAGAGTAAATCTAATTGCGGTCGCTGATACTTTAGTATCCGACTAACGGTCGTCCGGCATCGACTGACTGACCCACTGAGCTACTCCCGTTACTCTTACTACTCCTACTTATTATAGGTGGGAGAGTCTATTAACTATAGAATAGGTGTGTTCCACTATAACATAGGGTGAAAAATAATTTGTCACCCACAAGGACGCGGAAACGCATTTGTACTATCGAGACTGGAAAGTGAATCTGGGCAGCGCCTGTCCATATATGGCAACAGTCCTCCATTTTCGGCCTGATCTGGCTCTTGTAAAAGATAGAGGATAGCAGGTGGAGTCGGATACTTACTGGAGTGTTACAGAAGACCGACAATCTTCCAGTATCTCTAGCAATGAATAGTATCCACTTTAGGTTTCTGCTGAGTTTAAGTCTCAATTGGTGCTCAAGGTGCGGAGCCTCCCTGAGGAAACAGCCATTCATCGTGATTGGTGATAGTTCAGACATGATGTAATGTAAACAGTTTAGTTTTCGAGGCATTGAATGAGAAAGTTCCCCCGCTCCAATGAGCTAGATCAGAGGAGAGGGCACTGACCATTTTACCTGCATCATAAACAATGGATCGTATGTACATGTTCCACTTGAGGTCGGGTGTGAGTTTAAGGCCCAACAGTCTTTCAAGGCACAGTGCTTCCCCGAGAGGACCTTCGTCCATCCTGATTGGTGGTAGTTCGGGGTCATATCGGCCATAATGGAATGTAATTAGCTTGGTCTTTGAGGCATTGAATGTAACCAGCTAGTTTTTACCCCATTGGGTATTTTGTGCAAGATCGGAAGAGAGATCAGTCACCAAACTCTCAAGAGTTTTAGAGGTGCGCTCATATACAGTCGTATCATCGGTATAGATGTGTACAAATGATCTGAATATATCATTTATGTAGATCAAAAAGAGGGTTGGTCCGAAGAGTGACCCCTGGGGTGGGGCTGCATTGATCGCAAAGGCCCCGGAGGACTGGCCATTAATAACTACCTTCAGGGTAGGTATTAATATTAGGAAAGATTTTATGACCGAGAAGACTCTTCCAGTGATTCCATAACAGGAGTGTTTGTGTAGTAAACTTTTGTGTTACACCTTGTCGAAGGCCTTTGAGATATCTAATGTTATGGTCCTCGAGGTGTGTTCATCGTCAAGAGCCTGACCGCTTCTCTGAGTGATGGTAGTTAGGACGTCGGCAGTGGATTGGGCCGACTGAAACTCATACTGCTCGTCGATGAAGAAGTTGTTCTTTTTTAGGTGCTCGACGACCTTCTTATTGATTATGTCATCAAAAAAGCTTCCTGATGATACTGGGAAGATTGGTGGGTCTTTACTGGGTGGGGGAAGATCGCACGCCTGCGTTCTTGAAAACCAGGCATAAGCTTGCCACCTTCCATAGGCTAAGGAAGAATTTCACCTTCAAGCAGCGGTTGAATAATTTTGCTAACGCAGTCGAGGTAACAAGGAGAAGAGTTCATTAGAAGAATTGCCAAGAAAATAAATGCAGAAAAGATGCAGGAAACTATGTTACTGCGATGGGAAAGTGACCTGAAGTTGTGATGCTAGGTCAGGAACGATTACATTGCAGATTTTCTTTCGGATTTTGTCAAGAATCTCTAGATATGTAGCAGAAGCGTTAGAAGGAATGTGACAGCAATATTCAATGCACGGACGTGTGGTAGATTTATAAACGTGCAAGATGGATTCTGGCAATGAAAACGACACAGTGAACCAATTTTCCTAGCAACAGACCTAGCAATATATTTTTCATTCCTTAGGATTTATTTCTTCATTTTTTCTTCATATTCTTCATTCCTATTCGAGACCTTTCTTTTTTTTTCTTTTACTTCTTTAACTTATTTTTCATTCTTCGATTTTTGTAGCTTTTTTTTTTCTAATTTTGGGATTTTAACCATCGACGCGTACGTAAGTTACTATTTCTCACCCATTTTATTTTTAAAGTCTATAGTATTTACTATTAGGCATATATCAGTTTGAAACATAACCATATTAATTAAACATCAATTAGTGAGAACCGAAGTTACTAAACAAGAAATAAAAAGTCTTCTAGAATATATATATATATATATATATATATACACACACACACACACACACACACACACTCGCTTTAAATAGAAACTTATCGGCCTGATAAAAGTAGTACATTTAGTGGGATTCGAACTCGCTATAGGAAAGTAGCTAGCCATCTCAAGTAAGTAATGGCTGGCCGCCCGCACCTGAGTATGCCAGGGGAGCTAGCCAATCCCTATTGCTAGCGCAGGTACATTTGTGTAGTTTATTCTGCAACCATGCTGAGCGGACGTTAAATACAGTTTACTGAGAGAGAGCGCATTCTCTAGCGGAACAAAGCCAATACGCGCAAACCCTCGGTCACGATGACTTGCGACACTGTGCTCGCTCAACCATAGATGGCTCCCAAATAATTCTGTCATTTTTACTCACAAGTGAACCCCTTTCCAAAAATCGTTTCTACATTAAGAAGTCACCTTTCTGAAAATTGACCATGGTGAGATTCGAACACAGGCCTCTCGGTTGAAAAGCGAACGTTCTAACCACTCGGCCATCATAGTAAGGTACTAATGTTATGTATGTGTGTGCGTGCGTTTTGGTATCAGTCGAGACAAATGAACCGATGTATGTATGCATTTATGGGTGTGTGTCTATCACTGCGTAAGTTCATAGGATTCTTTCATTTTTCATTGTATATAACGCAGCTTTTGCCATTTCCTGCATTTCTTCCGTTTCTGTTTTCGTCCTTTTCTTTTTGCTTTCTCTTCTTTTTTTCTTCTTCTTCTTCTGTTTATTTTCTGCGTAAGACATCGACACCGCTTTTAACACAATAGCTAGCACTACTATTAACGTCTCTCTCGCTTTCTCTTTCTTGCTTTTACCTCTCTCTCTCTCTCTCTTTCCCTCTCTGTCTCTTTTCTTTGTCTTTCCTCTTCATTTTCTTTCTACTCCGCTTGGTCTCTCTCATCCTCTCTTTTCTATATCTGCCTGTCTTTTATATTTCTCCTTTCTCTTCTCTAATTCACCATCGATACACGCATAATATATATATGTATATATATGTATGTGTGTGTGTGTGTGCGCGTTTGTGTGTGTGTGTGTGCTCACATATGATATACATAGAGAGATAGAATTACACACGAATATGTAATTATATATATGTATAAATGGAATTACACACACACACACACACACGTACATATAATTACATACATACATACATACATACATACTTACATACATACATATATACATACATACATAATAACTTCTCATCGCACATATTTCTACACATTTCAGTCTAGGTGTGCGTGTTTAATAGGTATGTGCGTGCGTGCGTGCGCCAGTTCTGATCTCTCTCACTCCTTCTCTCTCTCTCTCTTTTCCGCTCTCTTTCTCGATTTTCCTCTCACTTTCGATTTCTCTCCCTATTTTATATGCTATCACTATCCTCTCTGATTTTTTCTTTTCCTAATTTTGACTGTTTTTTTTTCATCTAGTCAAAAAGCTGCCCTCGCCGCCGCCCTCTCTTACGTCACCGCTTTCTTCTCTATTCGCTACCACAGCTACTGTTACTACCACCACCTTCAGAGCAAGCAAGCCAACAACAACAACAAATGCAACAGCAGCAGCAGCAGCGGCGGCGGCAACCTGTACAGGAGAAACTTAACTTGAGAGAGGAAAGATACAACCGAACAATATGCACTGACGAAACGAAAAGCAACAGTTCAAATTTGTAGAAAACGGAATCGTAATAACATACAGGTTGCTTTTCTCATATCTCGTCTCGTCTCGCCTTGTCTCAACGTTCCTTCATTTTGATACAACCGTCAAACACGACCCACAGTAGTCACACTATTGCACAGTGACAGCATCACCACAACCAACAACAACGCCACTTTTACTATCAACAACAACAAGAATAATAGTAATAGCAACAACAAATACTTAGTCAATATATTCACTGACAGGGGTGTAATATCGTGTGCAAACAGCCACAAGTAGAAGAAGAAAAAAAAGAAGAGAGAAAGTGGGAAAAGATGTACCTGTATTCGAATGCAAGCATACAGTAATTCCTTACACACACACACACACACACACACACACACACACACACACACACACACACACACACTTACTTACACTTTCTTTCTCTCTCTCACGCACTTTCGTCATAAATTTATTAATTAACTTTCTCCCCTCACGGCCATTTTAAATAGTTTTCTATCTTTCTTTCTTTCTTTCTTTCTTTCTTTCTTTCTTTCTTTCTTTCTTTCTTTCTTCCATTCGCTGTCTTTCCCGACTCTATTTTTTCTTTCATGTTTCTCTATATCTCTTACTGTTGTTCTTAATCTATTTATCTCTTATTGTACCTTGGTCACTCGCTAATTATCCCCACCAAAGAAACTCCTTTCACAATCAACCTTGCTTATCCACACACACACACAACACACACACACAAATAGAGATACGATATATACATGCACAAACGCATACACAAGTACGTGGGTGCATGCGCCCGCACGCACCCTCGTCCAGACGCAAGCGCGTTATAATCACTTGAATGCGTATAAAATAATTTAATACCTACACACACACACACACACACACACACACACACACACACACACACACACACACACATCACACATACGCACACACATACGAAATCATCTCCAAGTTTCCTTCTCTCTTTTTCAACCTTTTCTATCTCTTTAGCTCTTTCTCCTTCACAACTACACACGCTGTGTTATATACCTACGCGCATAGATAAGTAGCAGCAGCAGCAACAGTGTACACAGTCTCTCCGAGTTTCACACACACTCACACACACGCTCACACACACACACGCGTGTGCGCGCGCATACAAACACACACGCTCTCTCTCTCTCTACCTCTCTCATTCTGTCTTTCACTGCTCTCTGTATGTCTGTATCAGACGTGCACGCTCACACACGCGCACACACACACATACACACACGCACGCTCATCCACAGACACACACGCACACAGAGTCATGAGAGAATACCGTGAAAAATAATGTAAACTATACTATGTTCTATAGATTTGAAAATAAATCTCTACCCTATATCGGAAATTCAGAGCGGCCATGTTGGATGTGTAAAGCTAGATCTGACCGGATCTTTTTTATTGGTATGACAATAGCTTTTGAAGTGACAGAATTACCGAGCCATCATGCGGTCACGGATAACTAACGTGTCTCTGCTCTGTTTGGGGATGGTGTTTTCTGTCAAATTACTGATAGCTACGTCGGCACACGACCTCTCCGTGGAACTAGCTCAGTCTGCACAATTCCCATCCCATATTCAACAACGATTTAGCATATCTTCCGATGTTGGTGGGGACAAATTCGCCAGCCGTCGAATTAGATCTCAGTCGGCCCTGACGCAGCCAAAAATCTACGGCGGAACGAAAGCGACAGGTTACACGAAAAATTCACCAGGTTTACCATTGTCATCGTCGTCGTCGTCGTCATCATCATCGTCGTTTCTGTCCTCGTTCACATCTTCATTGTCTTCATCGTTTTCATCCGTTGGTCTGTCATCTGCATCCTTATCATCATCCCTTGCTGCCGCCGCCGCCGCCGCCTCTTCCTTGTCGTCGTCGTCTTCTTCATCATCATTGTTTTCCTCATCTTCCAAGTCCATCTTATTCGGACGACCTGGGGGCAATGCAGACTCCGTGACGACAGCCTTGCAATATATGGAAGGTACACTGACCGCCTCGCAGGTAGCCAAGTGTGAGAACCTTCCTTTGTTGGATCAGTTCAAAGCGGAACTGGACAGACAATCATTCAACACTTTTAATTCTGAAGGCTCAGGTCCTGTATGGCTAGCTAACATCTTAACTCGGCTTAGTTTAGTCAACGGCCCTTCGTCCACATCTTCTTCCGCCGAAAGTAGTGGCAGGAGAGCATTTCATTCAGTTCTTTTACGGGCCTTGTTGTCCCAAAGCAGGGTTCTGGTCGGTGCAGCCATTGTATTGTCAGAGGGTGGATCAGCTACCCCGAACAACACTCGACATCTTTACGTGTACCCGAAGGAAGACCATTATATTACTTCGGATAACGTTTCGGAACAACGCCGGAAAGTTTATTCTGAGATGTTACAGCAATATTTGAACAGCAACAACCAGTCCACGCGTTCGAATCGCAGTCCGGACGAAGGTTACACAAAAATTTCGGATACATCGTCACCTCGTGACAGGATTAAATTTAAATCTGTGAATTTTAAAGCTGGATCCTGGAGTAATATCTATTTTGACTGCAATCTATCAAATCATGGCTCCTTTCTTACGCGGTCCCGTACTTGGATTCGCGCGGTGCCTACAGGTAAGTTTAATAAACCAAAAATATATATATATATATATATATATATATATATATATATATATATATATATATATATATATATATATATATATACAATTCACCATAGCGTTCTTAAGAGTTCTCAGCCCGAATTAATTCCCAAAATCTGACCAATGACCGAAAATGTTTTTTGGGAATCCTTGGTCGAGCCAAGAACTTTTCAGCAACGATTCGTATATATATATATATATATATATATATATATATATATATATATATATATATATATATACATATCACTTTATGTAATATGATTATGGTAAAAACAAATTACTTCAAATATTGCTTATTTTTCGCCGTCTGTTTGGAAGTATAATTTCAAAGAGCATCATAAAAAGTAAGTGATAGGATACTGCTCACAAAGGGTAGTAGCAAATATCTGAACTACATTTGTGTCACAAAATACCTGGTAAGTCACTAAGCGTGTCCCATGTCTTTTCGGTTAAATTATACATCTTAAGTCACTCTATCAGGAAACAAAGTGCCACGAATTTTTAAAAAAATTTGTTTCTTTGCGGGAACAATTATATATATATATATATATATATATATATATATATATATATATATATATATATAATATAAATATCATCAATCTTATTGCCAATATTGTTATGGGTTTGTTGGCTTTTTTATTCCTCAAATTTTATTAACCGGTGAAATATATATATATATATATATATATATATATATATATATATATATATATATATATATATATATATAGGTAACGAATGAATTATAAATAAAAAAAAAAATAATCCCAACAATCTCATGCATTAATATCACCCAGTCAACAAAACCATAGCATTCTCTCCAATTGGGTAAATGTCTCCTCTGCAAATCAGCATGATCAAATTATTATCACATTCATGTCATGCATAACAATGTGTATTTTAATGTCACCATTCTTTTAAATAATTATGTATGCGTGTGTGTGTGTGTGTGTGTTTGCGTGAAGTCTCGTTTTATCACTGTTTTTAACGTTCCATATTTTTTCTTAAAACTTTTTTGTGCTGAGGCTTTTTTTGGGATTTCCAAAATTTATTTTACGTAGCCTACAATACTCTAAACACGTTATATATCTGACGAATGGTAAAGTTTCATTGTAAATCCGATATTTCAATACTCGTTAAGAAATTAAAAAAAAGACTTTTTTTTTTTTTGGTGTGTTTTCATAAACTGCCATTTTGCTACGTGAATTTTTAATTGTCTTAAGATTGTTTTAAATGATTTTATTTTGAAAAACACAATGATTATCAATCGTGGATTCGGGTTAAGACATGGATGTTTCTTTTTTTATTCCTAAATAAGTGCTTAAATAAATAGTATACATTGCGCCAGATGTATAAAAGATTTGTTATACTTTAAGTGATATAGAATTTAAAAATAATTATTTAAACTATTAGCCGCGTGAGTCATGTGGGATTTTGATAAATTCTTTACTTTCGAGATAATCATAATTCACTAAGAGATTTCTTATTTTTATACAACAAAAAATTGAATATGAGGTTCTAACTTCGAAAGAAACCTCTTGAATCACTACAAGTCTTTAATGTCACTCATCTGTTTCACTGCAGATTTTAAGTCCGTTATTAAAATCCGCGGTAGCCAAGGATTGTTTAAATCGAAGAACCATAGTGGATCAACCAATTATGGC